GCATCACTGCAGCTGCACATAGGGGCGCTAAGGTGGAAGCCGACGTTGCCGATCACGAATATCAAAGGCCTAGATTTCATCTTGCGAGATTTCTTGAAGCGGTTCAACCCCGAGATCGACTGGGTCAACAGGAAGGCGTGCATCTACAACAACGGGAAACGAGTGGAGCTGCGAAGCTGGACAGATACAGGGAGTGTTCCTGAAACGACACTGGCACGGTTCGAACAGACGGTGAACGAGAGTAACACGGGTTACTTAGCACTGGTTATGGCAGCAGTAGAGGAGGAGAAGCCGAACACAGAGCTACCTGCATCAGTGAAGGAGGTATTGGAGTAGTACAAAGATATAATGCCCGACGACCTACCCGCAGGCGTACCTCCAGCACGCACCCACGAGCACGAGATCGTGGAGGAACCAGGTGCGAAACCCGTCTCACGTGCACCATACCGACTGAGTCCGACCGAACTGACAGACATGAAGAAACAGATCGAATATTTACTGGACAGACAACTGATCCGCCCATCCACCTCTTCCTACGGTGCACCAGTTCTCTTCACTCCAAAACCAGACGGCAGTTTACGGATGTGCATCGACTACCGCGCACTGAACAAACAGACAGTAAAAAACAAATACCCCATACCGCACATAGACGACCTACTGGACCAACTGCGTGGTGCCACAGTCTTTTCGAAGCTGGACCTACGGTCGGGTTACTGGCAGATCAAGATGGCGGACAACTCGATCCACAAGACGGCGTTCCGTACCAGATACGGCTCCTACGAATACTTGGTGATGCCGTTCGGACTCTGCAACGCACCAGCAACGTTTCAGGCGGAGATGAATCATATCCTGCGGCCCCTGCTGGACGAGTGCGTAGTGGTGTACCTGGACGACATTCTCATCTACTCCAAGAACATGAAGGAGCACGTGGAACATCTGCGGAAGGTGTTGGAGATCCTGCGGAAAAACAAGTTCTACGTGAAGCTGTCGAAGAGCGACTTCGCCTTGAAGAAAGTGCAGTTTCTCGGGCACATGGTGAGTGTCGAGGGCGTACACGTGGACCCGCGGAAGATCGAAGCCGTCAAGAAGTGGAAGGTACCGGAGAACGTGAAAGAGTTGCAACAGTTCCTAGGCTTCGCCAACTACTATAACAGGTCCGTGCCACAGTACGCTAAGATAGCAGCGCCACTGACAGACCTACTGAAATAGGATACGCCCTACAAATGGGATACTCCTCATTAGCAAGCCATGGAGCAGTTACAGACAGCACTGACTACAGCACCAGTACTCATCCTACCGGACCCAGACAAGGACTACGTAGTTGAAGCAGACGCTAGTGACCAGGCAGTCGGAGCAGTACTGATGCAAGATCACGGGAACGGTTTACAGCCTATCGCCTACCTCAGTAAAAAGCTACACGGAGCAGAACTGAACTATCCCATTCACGACAAGGAAGCCTTAGCTATAGTCGTAGCCTTCAAGGCGTGGAGGTGTTACCTAGAGGGAGCCAAAACTACAGTTTATACTGACCTCTGCAGCCTCAAATACCTGAAGTCGCAGCCGACGCTCTCACAACGATAGGTGCGGTGGGTGGACTTCCTGGAAACTCACTTCCACTACGACATCGTCTACAAGCCCGGGCTACACAACAAGGCAGACGCATTGAGCCGCCCCGGTCATGTAGCAGGCATCCAGCTGGACGGGATGAACCCTCTGCTCAAGGGTCTATTCCAACATGGGTACTCTGTGGACGCAGAAATCGCTACAGCACAGACTAAGAAGCTGTTACAGTGGGAGAAAAACTTAGCGGTAAGGAAGGGTTCAGGAAAGATTTGGGTACCGAACTATGCCCCGCTCCGACAGATTCTACTGGAGGAGTTTCACGACGTACCATACGCGGGACATAGCGGGTCAAAACCCGACCCGACCTGGTTTGATATTGACCAGACCCGGCCGGACCCGGCCGTATACCTAGCTGGACCCGGCCGGGCCAGGATCCCCGAAACACTGACCCGACCCGGGTAAAATCCCGCGCTGGGCCAGTATGCTCAAGCCTAGGGTGGAATCGATATCAGCCCAGCTAGGGATGAGCTAACCCCAAGCTCGAACGAGATTGTCTCTAACTCAGATGTACGCTTGCGTTACCGGAACCGAACGCGTACAATTTGAGTCTAGGCAATTTTGAAAAACAGGTGTTCGAATGTTTGACTGTATAGTCAAACAAGTGTTTGGGTTAAACATCGGTGTGCTTGTTTTGCCTATTTCAGATGTACGAAGAGCCTTGACTTCATTATCTAATGTATCCATCCACGTCTGGCCCTACCAGTAAAAGAGTGCTAGGGTAGGAGCCATGGTATTTAGGTGACGAGAGAAAGGTTTGACCAGAAATGTGTCATTATACTAGCAGCAGGAGCAGGTGTGGTGATGCCTTTTACTCTCCGGTCCGGCGTGATGTCAGTACCTCACTTCATAACGAAGCTCGTAGTGCTTAAGTAATTATCGTCTACGCATCTGCTTGCTGTCCTATTCTCAGGGATGTTTCAACGAACCAACTCGCAGGAAGCATTCCTGCTAGTATCAGTGCTCTCACTCAAGCCACTTTCTTGTAAGTCACACACAAGTTGGGAATAAACTAAGTACTACCATGTACATCAGCCAATACCATTGTTTGCAACATACTTCGACACACATGCTCACCATATGAGCCAGCTAGATTGGTTTTTTGTAATGTAAAAAATATATGCCAGGTCGGTAGGTACAATACAAGTAGGCATGTGCACAGTACAGTCCTGGGCTATCCAGTTCCGGTTCGACTCAAACCGACTCTAGATATTTAGCAAATTTGATCTGCCAGTTGGCTCGAGTCAGGCAAAATTAGAAAGTTGGGGCTCATTTCAGCAACTGGAAGGAGGAGGTTGTTGCCTTATGGCACGTGTGCCCGCCTTCTTACCTGGTCGTCCCGCCCTAGGACAGTCATGATGGGCCCACCGATTCCCGACCCGACATGCACAGATCTAGCTCGTTCGCATGGATTAGCCAATTCGCTCGAATCCTGAATTGAACATGCCTACTTACGATGGGCCGTGCTTCATGACAAGCTGCCTTCTGTCAATCTGAGAGTAGAATAGATGACACATACCGGGAGGGGTCGGGTGGATACGATGCAATCGGAACGGAATCCTGGGAGGATCCATCCAGATTATGGAGTTTGGATGGATAGGGTTCCGTTGAATAGGTAGGGGATGAAAAAATCTACACCCAACCCAACTAAAACTAAACTCACTATAAGTTGTGAACCCAAAACCTAAGACTAACACAAAGTTGAGCCTATTTCCAACAGCTTCATCGCAACCAAGGCAGCGATAAAGGCCAGTTCGACTGGGCCGGGCTCAGGCCGGCCAACGGAGACAAAAGAAGGCCCAGACACTTCACAAACTACCATGGGCCGAACTGGGCCGGGCAATGTGCTCATGCATACTGTACTCACCTTGTGATCCTTTTTGGCCTGCAATATTTAGTGACCGAGATGCCTTTTCTAGCATTCCTGCTTTCTTCGTCCTCTACCTATCTTAGCATCGCATTCCTTGTTGCTCCATGCAGGAATGTTTATGGTAATCAGCTCACTGGCCCGATTCCTGCTGAGATTGGTAACATGACAAGACTAGTGTTTCTGTAAGCCCGCCCTGCTAGTCTCTCCCCTTCATCTGCCATTTTGTTTTCTCTTTCTGATTTTCCTGCTTTTTTTGCTCTGGTCATGCGCAGAAAGCGAACCGAAGATTTTTTTTCTTCATGTTTTGGTTGCTTTGAAAGACCGAATGATGGTTTTTTCCTGTTCATATGCTAGAGGTCAGCAGAAAACCAAACTGTGGCCCTCTTGTTCGCATTTTTGTTCAAGGCAAATTGGGTCAGAGGTAATCTTGAACTGGTCAATGTTCAAGCTGTGAATGCCATGCATTGCATTGGACTGGTTCAGCGGGCAGCGCTTTGCCTGGTCCTCCCGTGCATTTCTTAGGGAGTTTAAAGGTAAAATTGGAGTTCATGTTTGGCTTGAATCATTTTGTTGTATAGTCGAGCCTGGCCGTCAGAACCAAACTGTTTGAGACTTGCGTCTCACTCTAGTCAAACCAGATGCAAGTGCTTGATATTTATGGGGGTTCTCCTTTCTGTTATCACAAATATGCCGTTTGTCTCTTCTGAGTAGGCATCAACCGAATCCAGAGTCTTTCTGGTTCTGCCCACTCAAATAAAACATAAACCAGTGTAATTCGAACTAGAACCGGTTCGGGTTGAACCGGCTTGTGACCCTACCATCCGAACCATAGGAAACGGACAATGAATCTGCATGCACTCATACCGGCTCCATCCAAATCGGATTCGCTTCGAATTGTTTTGGCTCATGCCTCGTTATAAAGAGTGTTTCGTGACAAGAGAAGAGGCTCAGCTGGTTAAAACACCGAGACACAAGGCAAGGCTAGACTTGAGCAAGCATAGAACCCGAACGAGTACTTTTCAAACTGGGTCAACTGTTGTTAAGACTGAACCGAACCATTTCCTTTTGGATCAAACCATTGTACGCTTGGCGGAGGTTGAAGGTTCGCGTGTGAAGCCGAACATAGCAAGGTTATGTGCCCGAACTCTACAAGGTTATAAGGCAGGTTGGGGTAAAACCCCAACTGAACTTAGGACCTGTTCAGCCTAGGATAATAACAGGAAACTGAACGTAATCTGAACCTAAGATAAATCTAGTCCTAGAAATGGCTGGAAACAAGATATATATGCATCACAAATAACTGAGAGACTAGTGAACTTTAATCTTGTGTGTAATTGACGCGGCCCAATGTGAACATAGTGAACCGTGCACCTTTCTTCATAGCCACATTCGGACACTCAGCCCATCAATTGGAAGGACCGCTCACTTACTCAACCTAGTACTCCATCCGTCCACGTTCTCCCGTTCTATCTGTCCCGTTGCTCCTCTAACATCCTTCCGTCTCACCACCATGGCCACCAGGTCTTTCGCCTCAACAAGCTGTATGGGAGCATACTAAGCACTCTCAACCAGCTCATGCAGCTCACATTCTTGTACGACCCACACGCTACCTCAAAGTTTGAGGTCAACGAGCACTGAACACTAACCAGTACCAATCAGGAACACATCCCTGATCAGATCAAGGTGACACACATGTATGCCCGTGGTTGCAATGCCAGTGCTCGGTAGACCCATCTTCAAATTTCTCAGATTGCTGCCTCATTCTCCCTTCATCTCCTACTTCCTTTGTCTCACCCCACCATCCGTGTAGGCCTCTTCTTCCTCTGCCTCTTCTTCATTTTCCTCGTCCACCTCGCCTTCCCCTTCTGCTCTACTTCTCATTGACTCCTCATGGTTAATCTCATTCTTGTTGTCCTCACACCGACTCTACTCAACAACCCCTCACATCAACAATCCCTGCAATCCACATTTTCATATCCAGATGCATTAAGGCGATCCCCACCCATCCTCCCGGCACTTGCCCCTTCCCCCACCCCCCCCCTCCCCCCCCCCCCCCCACCCCGCCCCCAGAGACCTCTCTCACAATTACCTCACAGGCCGCGCATTGAAGCCTCTTTCTGCGCGCTTCCTGGATCTCTCCAGCAACTTCCTCTCGGGCCCTCTGCCCGACGGGGCATGCCAGCCGCTTTCTTTTGATGCCAACTGCTTCACGCTGCCACTGGGCTGTGCCTTGGTGCCGCAGCGGCAGGAGGCAGCATGCAATGCATTCTGTGGCATCTCCTCTGCAGCTGGTGATGCTGCTGCGTGTGGCGGGCATGGAGTGTGCTATCCACAGGGCCCTAGTCTGGCACCCACATGTCTGTGCGATGTGGGATTCATGCGCTTTGGAGACATTGACTGTGTAGGGGCCAGGCCACCACTTGAAGTCAATGGAATGGTGGGACGTCCATCAGTTGGTTAGAAATTCGTCCGACATTCTTTGATTTTGTAAGCCTTGCATCCCATCCCACCCTCTCATGCTCTCCATATCCCACTCCTGTCTGCCCGTCCGTTACTTTTGTTTGTGCAGGACAGAACAGGAGTTACTCAAGCAGCCAACCAGTTCTCCTACCAGCATATGTGCTCACCAAGGGGATGCAGTCGGAGACGAGGGGAAACGTCACCACAGCCCCGGTGACTCTGTTTGTGTACGAGGCAGGGCAGGGGCTGTCTGGGTGTGGACTGCAGCTCGCCTTCCGTGCCAACTTCACCTTCTCCCTCTCGCCTCAATCTGGCCGCGTGGGCTTCAACGGCTTTGCCTTTGTTATCTCGGCAACCGACCGGGTGGGGAGCGGCGCCGGTGTGGGGTATGGTGGAATGGACATGCAGAGTGTGGCAGTTGAGTTTGACACTCGGCAGGACAAGTAGCACGGCGACATGCGCAGCCAGCATGTGGGGCTGAACGTTCGAGGCGAGGACAAGTCGCTAGCCGTTGTGCCGTGACCATTCCCTCTAAGGAGCAAGAAGGCATACACGGCATGGGTGGACTATGAGCCGGGAGATCCCGGCACCATCCAGGTCTTCCTGGCTGACTCGAAGGAGAAGCCGCGGGAGGCAGTGCTGGAGAGGAGGCGGGCGCTGTGTGAGGTGCTGAAGGCTGGGGTTGATCAGCACGCCTTCTTCTTTGGCTTCGTGGCCTCCACCACTGTGAAGCCGTTTCAGAAGCACGTCATTCTCGAGTCTACAGTGGACACAGGTCAGCATAGGCATGAGCAGATCGCGAGCTGATTTTTACTCCACTCGCTTGTATGCTTACTCGATCCAGTATCGAGTCTTGTGGAGTAAAGCTCAACAAAGTTTATTTGTTCTCATACCTGACTCATTACACTCCCTTTTAGATGAGCATTTTGAATCTCGAACGAGTTTTCTTCTACTCGTTTCTCCCTAGCTGCCCAACAAACTATGTCCCGCATGCACAAAACACCTCCCTGCTTCCCACAATACACTGCCTTGCCCTGCACACCACACCACAAGTTGCTTCTACAAACAAGTGTCTCTTGCACTCAACGAGATAGAAGGCTCTTTTAGTTTTTAATTACTCGAACATTTTCATTAGACTCGACTCTGTTGAGGCTGTTGGCCAAAAGGGGAAACTCGAGACCAACTGGTCCGCAAGTCTGACCAGCCCGATCACCTGTGCGAATGACGTACGGGCAGTGAGCACTACTCCGAGACGCCCCACGCTGAGCGTACCACTCACGAAGCTGCTGGGGCGTAAAGGTCTCGCGCGGACGCCGCTGCAGCTGCACCAGGCCACCGCCAGAAACTCCCAACGGAAAAGCTGCACACCCACTGCCACTACTGCCGCCGCTACTACTCCTATTAGCGTACCACACACGTAGTTGCTGGGGCGTACCACACACGTAGTTGCCGGGGATGGGACGCCGCTGCAGCTGCATCTGGCCACCGCCAGAAACTCCCCACCGAACAGCTCCACAGCGACTGCTATTACTGCCGCCACCACTCCCACTGCTGCCACCACCGCCGTCACCACTCCCACCGCTACTACGAAGTGAAGTCATAGCGGGCAAACAAGGAGGCGCGCGACCAGTCGCGCAGTACAGAGGGTACGACATATGCTGCGCGACCAGTACAGAGGGTACGACATATGTTTACAGTTTTTCCTTTTTATTCAATCCAAATCAATTCAAGGTCATATTCATGGAACACAAATAAACCTGGAGCCTACACTCCCAACACAGGTCTTCTCATTGTACACGTAGTATTTTGAAATGGCCCCATTCTGAGCTCCACCATAGAAGCTGTATGCACCTGAGCACGTCAATGATGGCGATACTGGTTTCTGCCTGCCCTTCTTGCACTTGCCGATAACAAATGACCAATACTCTGCTCGTAGGCAAATCTGCAGTGGCGCCATTTACAAACACAACAATAAGAAGGAAAATATAAGAGATAATATGGAAGGAAGAGATAGGCACAATACGAAAAGTATCCCTAAAAATGATTAAGGGAAAAGGGTTGACGAATCATGCAGCAAGAGCGCATCAGAAACGACCATTGCACCCTCAGCCATTGAACATCAGTTTCCCCTCCACCTTTTCCTCCCATCTCTTGGCCACCCTCCTTCTTAGTCCATTCTCCCTTCCTCCACTCACCTGCACGCCGATGTTGCTGCCAACAGCAGAGGCGGTGCTCGGGATGACATCCGAGCAGATGAGGCCGGGATTGTTGCGGTACAGCTCAGCCCAACGCACGGCATTCATCTTCCCAGCCCCTGAGGGGTCGCCGTCACTCGCTGCCACCTGCCGCAGCAGGCGCTCGCAGGTGTCCTGTGGTGTGAGCACGCCGTATCGCGAGCACTGAGGGATGGTGAAAGCGAAGGTTGTGTTGCGCTCGACGCACAGAGAGCGGCCCGCCTTGATGGGCTCAGAGCAGTTGAGGCCGGGATTGAGAGCAGTGAGGTTGCTGCTTGTGAGGCCCAGCTGCGCGCTGATGGACCAGCATGTGTCGCCCTGAAGGGTTGAAGAATGGGAGAAACGGCACAGATGCCTGCGGTGAATGGGGTACGGCTTCACTATGAGCGAATCAGTCTGAGATGATAAGACTGCCTTGCTGAGCTGATGCAGAGTAGAAAAGAGTGAAATTCTAAACAGAGGATTCATGAGAAGAACTAATGCTCATGGTGAGGGTGTAAAAGATAGCTTTAGAGGCTCGAACGACAGGAGTTAAGGTGTAATACATGAGCCCTTAAGTTGAAAGCGGGACGGCTGTGCTTTTTGCGATGCTGAAATAGGCTGGGTTGCTAGAATATTCTTGCGTCGCCAAGTAGAGAGGAGTAGAAAGGTCGGGGAAGAGATATATAGAAGGAAAAACAACAAGGTCTACATCTCACACTGATGGTGTAGAAGAATGCTGTGCAGGGAACGACGAGAGAAATCCCCAGCTGAATCACCGTGTTACGAGGCAAAGGATGACTGCAGTCAATGGCCTGCAATGAGGAGCACAAACAAAGTTACAAAGTGAAGTATTGCCAAGTTAGCATTGTGTGGGGCTACTGCGTCCATTCAAGTTAGCCAATAACTTTGATAGGGACCCCTGGGCTTTGCAATTCATTCTTTCCCTGCCTGCATCTCCACTCTTCCATACTCTCCATGCTTACCGCATTATTCTGCGTGAATTGTGCAAGTGAGAGTCCCACAAGAGGGAGGACATCGGAGCACCACCAGTTGCTTCCACTCACTGCCAGGGTGCTGGCCGTGACGTTGGCTGAAGAGGGATGAGATCCAAAGAAGGGGAACAGACAAAAAAGGGGCTTAATTGAAAAATTTCTTACTGATTTTTTTGGATACTGCACACTTTTTGGCCACCCGGTTCAATTTTAACCAATTCAGTTCGACATCAAACTGATTCGACGTTCTGGTTGGTTCAGTGCCTTTTTATTCAGTGCCGCATCAAACTAAACTGGTTCGATGCTGATTTCGGTTTGATCGAATCAGGGCCTTTTCGACACAGAAACTCACGCGACCTATTTTACAGAAACAGAAAGTTGGAGCACATTTTACACAAAATTGGTCTAAGTTCCAACTTGTGTGACACACACAATGGTTTCATGTTTGCCATGCTTACTATGTTAGGCGACGCCTAATAGGCGTCTTCCAAACCCCCAGAATGAAAATTAAATCATAAGCTGATCAGGCAGGAAACATGTGACTAAAGTGAATGTTGATGGCAAATCAAACTGGTTTGGTTCGACTCGAACTGGCCGTGATTAAGGCCAATCCGCTTTGGTTTGTAACAAGAAATCGGGCTTTAACCAGGTTCGATTTGAACCGGACAGGTTCGACATCAAACCGGCTAAATTTCGACAGATTCAGTTTGGTAATTTGCTCGGGGGTACTGGAAAGCAGAAGCAGTTTGAGAAGGTCGTGATTGGGATAAATCGTGATACAATCACAGAAAGAAGTCGCCACCCTCTTGCAAACGAGGTCGAAGCAGCAGCACCTGGATCGCAGGTGGGGAAGCTGTAAATGGTTGTGCTTTCAACGTAGTTGGGAGGGCAGATGCAGGAGTAGGAGCCCTTGCCGTCGTTGATACATGCGCCCACAAAGCAGGGGTTCTTCAATTCAGACCCACACACGTCCACTGGCAAGCGATACGAAGCACAATTGTGGAGCGCAGAGATGAGGAGGGAAGAGATATACATATGTTGAGAACAACGGAAAGAGTGGATGGAGAGAAGGGGAGGAGGTCAAGAAGCACCAAAAGATATACACATACCAGACCAATGATTTGACAACGGCCATGGATGAGCATCATTATTCGAGAGTGAATCGACTTACAATAGGCACATGTTTGAGAGCCATATCCGTTTGCAACTTGAGCAAATGGCTGCCTGGCTTCATTCGGAAGAGAGCAGTTACACGAGTTGGTGTTACTGCGCAGGTTAGCTCGGCATGTGAACCGCCCACACGGGTTCATGGTGGGCTGCAGGTCGCCGTCACCCTTGAAGCTCCTCTGGCCGCACGGGTCCTTGGGAACTGGAGGGTGGTACAGACGAGAACAGGAGTAGAAATGGGGCGAATCCAGCATTATTGAAAGATAACCATAGGCAGGAATGAGCAAGGTTGAACACGTGACAGGTGCAAGATTTGGAAAACGTGAGTTGAAAATGGACTATCTTATGAACGCATTGGCTTACACTCTCTTCTCTCTGTTGACCATGTATTCAATCCAACCTACTCAATGGCTGTGATTTACAGCTTGTTCTTTGCCTTTCAATCCGGACCAAAGATAATCGACCCTGTGACGTGCTCAAAGGGTGGAGGAGACTGAGACACGGAGAGAGCGATGGGGGAAGTTGCCTCACTCAAGATCACGAAGTAGATGTCTCGCGCTTGACAATGGGGTAGTTGTCTCACTTTTGACAATGGGGTAGATGCCAGGCAGCACGTTAATGCCACACACGCCATCACCTCCTTGAATGTCCATGCGCATGTGGCCCCTGTCGCCCCACTCCACTCCCCACGAGTTGCGGATAATCCAGAATGGAGGCGCGATGCGATTTTGGCTGCCGTCATTTCTGAAGACGAAGTAGCCAATAACGAGTACAACGTGGTTCAATCTGCCGGTGTAGCAGGCAGGATCCTGGTACTTGAAGGTCTGAAGAAAAAGGGAGACATTGCAACGCAACAATAATGGAAGTGGGTCTTCATATAATACTCAGATTGATGTGGGTAACAACTTCTCTGCAACTATGTACACTGAAGACACAGCATATACAAGGTCAATGCAGGCAGCACCCTCCCCGTCGTATTGCACGAACTCCGGAGCAGAAGCCTCTATGTGAACCACCACTGGCTGTCGTCGAACTGCCGCCATGAGCCCCACAAACCCCTTGAACCGAGTGCGCTCAAACCCATGAAGAGGGTACTTCTTATTCTGAAGGTTGTCAACTCAAAAAGAATTCCGGAACATGTTTGAAGGAAGAGAAAAAAACTTTGTTAGAGACTCCAAAGGAAAGACAACAGCGTTTGCTGCTGCAAATGCACGCAACAAGAACAGGCTAACCTGCTTTCACCTAGTCACTTCTAGCAAGCAGCATATTACCAGGATGCGTTACAAGATGGTTACAACAAATATAATATACTAATGTAACTTGAATATCAAAGGTGAGCTGCGGTAACTCATGTGCATGCCGTAGTGAATCTCAAAGGTGAGCTCTAGAAACGAGCAAATAGTGTTCAAGGATGCGATTGCAAAAACAAATTGCATAGTGTTTTTAGACACTTACAATTTCTTACCGAATGGTCTATGCCTGAAACGTGAAAGCTGTATCCCTTCGGCCCACGTTGTCTACAATCTCTCGATGACTCGGGTATTAAAGCAAGAATACTTGAAGATTGGATACATGCAAATTTCATACTGTATCGAATCAATATGACAATTTAAGTGTACTGAAACCATGCAGATAATATGTTTGTTTACAGGCTTAGTCAGCCCTCTCCTGGTTTGTTAAGAGCTGGCCCAGGCCAGCCCTTGATCTTGCCAGGCAGAAAGTGTTTGCTTGTTGCATGAAAAACTTGGCCCTTCAGCCTCAACCTTCTTGCCATTCTAGCATAACAGACTTCGAGAGAACCTTTATGCACTGTGAAGTAGAGAATTTTGTTCAACCGTCTTAAAGATTGCAACCGTTTTAAGTGACTGCAACAAGTGACTCTAGGACTCAGAGAAGAGCCTTGTGTCACCAGTTGTAGTACAGTTGTAACCCCTCATAACATCAGGCACACTACTCAAAATTCACAATTCTCCCACGACCATCAACTCTCGAGCCTTTTACTCCTCCGCCTCACTACTCACAGGTGCGCCAGCCTTTGTGATTCCGCCATTGGGCAGCATGAGAAGCGTTTCAAGGGCCTCGGTGGGGGAGCCGCCCGTGCTGCACTTGTCAGCCTCGGAGGTGAGACCCATGGCTGCAAAGAGCGACTCCACTGACAGCTGCGGCGCCTCCCCATTTGTTGCAATGCCGTATGCCGCTTCCACACTCGCCACCAGCGCAAACGCCCAACAAGCATCTGGGTATGACAAGAACAGTTTCGTGAATAAATAAAGTGGATCCGAAGAGTTTTGAAGAAAAACAAGAGTGGATCCTAAACACGTATTGCGCAGAGCATTGCGAGATGGCTGGCTGAAACTATTATTATGTCATACTTTATACAACATCCAACCACAACTTCTGGTTGGTCAAGATTGGATGTGGTCCTTGGCCCTTAGTTGGCACATGCCACCCCTTGGTCCTTAGCTCCATCAATCCCAACCAACTCACAATTGTGGTTGCTTGAGCTACAAGCAAACTCACCCATTGGCCAACCTAGTGGTCAATAGAGTTACCTTCGTTTTCACTCCTCTCTTGCCCTTTGGTAGTATTATACAGCCTCTTGGCTCAATACTCAATACAATTTCTAAGATTTCTAAGAGTAACATGAAATTGGCCAGCAGCAGATCAGCAGGCAGAGAACAAGAAGAATGTAGCGACCATACGTGACACACCAGGCAAGCTCTTGGCTCCAACATGCTTCCCCGAGGTCGCATTCATTTCACTCACTGCAGTCTTCCTGGTCCTTGACGGGCCAGCCGAGGAAGGGCACGGAGTCCCAGGAGTGGAAGTCGCTGACGACCCACGAGTCCTGCTTGCCGGGCGCCACTCGGTAGTCCGCACTCACGTAGCGCGGGAAGGGGCTGGCCCATGCTGGCATGTACGTATTTGTTAATAGCTGCAGGCCATAGGCTGGGATGCTCCCAAGAGTTGCATGATGGGGGAATGAATAAGATGTGAACAAGGCAAGTTGTTTTAAGGGCAGTTTGGAGATGGAAAATGAAGTCATCAGTAGATCAAGGTTTTCCCACACTTTGCTGGGCTGCATCTCTTCTTTTATAAACTCTGCACCTCATGTGGCTGTTGGTTGAGTGCCACTTCACATCCATCTAGCAGGCGCTCCGTTCCACTGTATTCAGTGCAGATGTACCTGTATTGATACCCCCTTTGGCGATGGTATTGTATTGACTAAATACTATTGAGGCACCTTCCCCAATTCGGGTACACCATAACGCTGCTCAGAATCCCTGCGTTGATCCCTTTTCAGAAATTCTTCATTAAGTTGTACCATATACATGATCTTGGGATGTTGGTTGGTGCACCACTTACCACTTACCACTTTGCCTGAAGATATTCCCTCGTACCTTTTCCACTAGAGGCATACGTATTCATATTGAAGACATCCACGGGTGCCAAAGATGGGAAGATGAGGTACAGGGGCATGGAGAGTAAAGTGAAAGATGCAGGCGGAAAGTTAAACAAACAAGAGGACCGATATCGGTACAAGCCACACAGATGATAATAACAGTCAGTCAGTTACAATACTTGCCTCCTTCGTCCTCCTTTGTCAGTCGTAAGTGGGGTGCTTGCGAGCAAAAGAGTTCTCACCCGGAGTACGTGTGACTGGTTGGGATGAAGTAGGAAGGCCTGGGAAAGGGCAAAACAATTGGAGCAGAATAAGAGGTCTTGTGACACTAAAATTCACAGTCACCGTTGCATCACATGTTTTCCGAAACCACTAACCCATTGCCGGTTCCCACACATTCGATGATTCAAAAGGGCGAGTAAGAAGTACGGAAAAAGACTTGGTCAAGCGTTACTCGAGTACGCGAGACTCGATCAAGTCAGCACAAGAGTGAGTCTAATAGAACTTGACTTGTGTTAACAACAAATCTTTAGCTGAAGTTGTCGGCGACACATAAAATCTTTTTGCTATATAGAGATAGAAACAAGAACAAACAGGAAGTAGAATCGATTAGTTCAATTGAACAAGTTATAAAACAATTAGAAACTAAATTCAATCCTAAAGGATTTAACATAACTTCTACCTTAGGTAAAGAAGCTTATCAAACAGCTGAAATATCAATAAAGTAGTAAAAACATGGAGTTAGAAATAATTCTGAAAAAAAAAAAAACAGAAAATCCGAAGCATATGCCTATGCTCATATGTATGCTGACCTGTGTCCACTGTAGACTCGAGAATGACATGCTTCTGAAACGGCTTCACAGTGGTGGAGGCCACGAAGCCAAAGAAGAAGGCGTGCTGATCAACCCCAGCCTTCAGCACCTCACACAGCGCCCGCCTCCTCTCCAGCACTGCCTCCCGCGGCTTCTCCTTCGAGTAAGCCAGGAAGACCTGGATGGTGCCGGGATCTCCCGGCTCATAGTCCACCCATGCCGTGTATGCCTTCTTGCTCCTTAGAGGGAATGGTCACGGCACAACGGCTAGCGACTTGTCCTCGCCTCGAACGTTCAGCCCCACATGCTGGCTGCGCATGTCGCCGTGCTGCTTGTCCTGCCGAGTGTCAAACTCAACTGCCACACTCCGCATGTCCATTCCACCATACCCTACACCGGTGCCTCTCCCCACCCGGTCCGTTGCCGAGATAACAAAGGCAAAGCCGTTGAAGCCCACACGGCCGGATTGAGGCGAGAGGGAGAAGGTGAAGTTGGCATGGAAGGCGAGCTGCAGTCCACACCCCGATAGCCACTGCCCTGCCTCGTACACAAACAGAGTCACCGGAGCTGTGGTGAAGTTTCCCCTCGTCTCCCGCTCTGTCCCCTTGGTGAGCACAGATGCTGGCGGGAGAACCGGCTGGCTGCTTGAGTAGCTCCTGCTCTGGCCTGTGACAGATAAACGGTCAGGAGTGAGATATGGAGGCATGACAGGGTGAGATGAGGTGCAATTCTTACGAAATCAAAGGTGGTCAAACAACGAACAAGGTTCTGGGGTTCAGGTAGTCCCACCATTTCGCCAATCTGCAATCATGTTCCTACGATGTCTAGTCGTGTTCCCTTACCTTCGGCAACACAGCCGATGTCTCCTGATCGCACGAATCCCGCATCGCACAGACATGTGGGTACCAAATTAGGCCCCTGTGGATAGCAAACCCCATGCCCGCCACACGCAGCAGCACCATCAGCTGCAGTGGAGACGCCACAGAATGCATTGCATGCTGCCTCCTGCCGCTGCGGCACCAAGGCACAGCCCTGTGGCAGCGTGAAGCAGTTGGCATCAACAGTAAGAGGCTGACATGCCCAGTCTGGCAGAGGGCCCGAGAGGAAGTTGCTGGAGAGATCCAGGTTTAGCTCAGTGAGGGAATTTAAGTTTATGGGTACACGGCCTGTGAGGTAGTTGTGAGAGATGTCGCTGCAGGGGGACGGCAAGTGACGGGAGAACGATGGATGGGGATCGCCTCAATACATGTTGTTTTGAGAAAGTGGAATGCAGGGAGCGAAGATGTAAGCGATTATGAAGAAAGATTGGGTGTCTGGAGTGGAGGAGGGAAATAGGCTGGCAGAGTAGAAGAATGACAAAAAGAATGAGGGGTCAACTGGAAGCAGAGCAGAAGGGGAAGAGGAAGAAGCGTCATATGAGGATGTTGGGTTGAGACGAGCGAAGCGAAGTAGCAGTTGAAGAGTGATGAGGGGAGGAAGCAGTAATGCGGTGCGGCAACCACGAGCATGTGGCATCCATGAGCATGTGGCAACCACGAGCATGTGGCAACCACAGATATACATGTGGCCTAACATTGGAGGAATGCATTCCTGACTGATACTGTGTACTGTTCAATGTTCGTTAACCTCACTTTTACACTTTCTCCCTACTTTACTATTACATCATGGTTTTTGAAGTGCAGCGAGCGTGCGTGTGTGTGATTTACCAAGTATTTACGAAAGGGGGATTGCCAGGGCAGGAGAAAAAGAGAAAGGTAATGTGTGGACTGTACAGGTTTAGAGGCTGCGTGAGCTGCGTGAGAGTGCTTGGTATGCTCCCATACAGCTGGTTGAAGGCGAGATTCCTGATGGCCATGGTGGTGAGACGGAAGGATGTTAGAGGAGTGACAGGAAGGGTACAACTGGAGAATCAAGGCGGTCCGAGTACCAGGCGGGGTGAGTGAGCGGTTCTTAAGGTTGACGGATTGAGAAGATACCAACCGAGACTGTAGGCCTGATGGTGATAAGTAAGAATCATGTAAGGTTTAAATGCTACATTCACATGCTATATCTGCATCCTAGATTCACTTGTTTGATTCATGTGGTAGGTTCGGGCTGGGCCGCGACAATCTGGCTCTGTTCGACTCTCAGCAGCTGCATTTTCCATTTTCATTATGCTTACCATGACATATCCACACTCCACCACACTCACCCACAGTGAAGTGTGGTCACAGTTGGCATTGCAATCTGTCCACTCATCCCATACCCACCTTGCTGGCCCCTATGCTGTGCCATATGCTGCCGTGTGGGCTGTTGTTCCAGCCTGACCCACATGTGCAACATGAGGTCTCCCTTGCTAGCTTGGCAAGGTTGGCTAGCCTTGCCCTCTACTTTAAGGTGCCGCTGCTAACTTCAAGAGTTCAGCCATATATATGTGACTTCCTACTTGACTAGAACTCATCTTTGGACAAGGACATTGCTCTAGCCTCGCAGCCCTGAAGTTCAACGATCCATTTTCTACATCCTTCTACTCCATTTGCTGACTCGAAGCTGAACCAATTTGGATCCACTTGGCATTTGAGCATGCAGCTTCTTGATTCGACCCCTATGGTTCGACTGGTAGGATTATCCGAAGTGGTTCTGGTTCAATTCAAGTGGGAAAGAACAGAGTAGGCTCTGGATCGGTTGTTGCTGATGCCAGAGACAAACAGCACGATTGTGATAACAAAAAGGAGAACCTTAATGAGAGTAGAAATTCTCATAAATCTGCAGCACTCGCATTTAGTTTGGCCCGACTAGCACACATGTCTCACACAGTTTGGCTACGATGGCCACTGCTTGGTGCTGGTTCAGTTCTTAGTTGCGAAACACGTTCGTGTTCGCCGCAGTGTTCGAGATGTTCGCCCTCACAGCCAAACCTCGAACACTTTTCTTGGTAAAAGGTGTTCGGCGAACCGAAGTTCGGTTCGCCGAACGGTCGTGTTCGAGCTGAGGCGAACGCGAACACGTTCGTGTTCGCCTCTTGCTCATCCCTAGCCTGACAGGGTGAAAAAAGCACGAGAATCAGAAAGGAAGCATAACTGGAGTTAATAAGCATAGCATGAAACTTGTAGGAAGGGGTTGTAACGTATAGGGGAAGGAAGAGCACGGAGTAGCGTACAAGACTACTAGTCCTGTCAGGTTACCAATCCCAGCAGGAATGGATCCAGTCAGCTCATTGTCGTTAAGATTCCTGCATGGAAGAACAAGGGGAGCAATTGCAAGAGCGGCAGAGGAAGTGAGCAGATATTTTTTCTTTAAAGTCATGTCAGTCACTAAATAGCGCAGACCAAAAAGGAACACAAGGTTCATACAGTACACATGAGCGAATTCCCGAGCCCAGTTCGGAACATGGTGGTTCGTTCGTCATGTGCCCAGCAAGGATCGAACTCGAACATGCTTGACTCTGAACAGAGAGTTTCGAACACTTGGTCAAGTCGAACGGAACTCGAACATTTGGACTCGAAAGGATTTCTTGAAGGGTAGTGTTCAACTGTTCGAGTATAGGGTCGAACAGTTTAGAGGCAAGGCTGTACACATAGGTGTTTGACCCAAACTTGAAGAGTTCCATTCCAGTTAAGGGGTACATTCAGTATAGTCACATTCAGGACTGGCCTTGTCCTTTTCGTTACCGCTCCAAACCACGCCTCTCGGATTCGATAGTGGCCTACGGCGAAATCCAAAGGAATGAGTTGTGTGAGAGTCTTGACCATCTTGACGTTTACTTTATCCCTACACGTCGTGTAGAACACGAGCAATAGTTTTCCTTGGCGCTTTTCTGGTGAGTCTCCAATTTCGCCTTGTAAAACTCTAGCCTGGACCAAAATGCCAATATTTCTGTTTTAAACCTAATATTTGAATGGGCCTGAGCACGGCCCATTCGAATTGGCCCGGCCCGCTCCCCCCCCAATGAAGAAGGCCCGATTGTTACGTGGCACGACCTGTAGTAGGTAGGCATGTTTGGCTCGAGATTCGAGCGGATTGGCTAACCCACGTGAAATGCTAGATCCGTCCATGTCAGGTGGGGTCTAGGTCGGCGGCTGTGGAGGCAGGTGTAGAGGGCGCTGTCACGGCAACCGCGGGCATGTGGAGTTGCATGTGGTCATGCGTGCATGCACGCCATGACCCAAAACCAGCCACCTCCACTGCAATTGGCATACATTCCGATCAACGACGACGAAAATCTTAGGGGCGCTGGCACAGCAACACAGCAATCACTGCAGTGCTGGCTTGGTTGGGTTCGACAAAAAAACTTCAGTGCATGCTTGAAACGTCTAAATTCAGTCACATCACATGCATGCATTCCAAATGAAGCACATCGAAGGACCTGTTTCCTGCCTGGTACTGGGTAGTGTTCGATGTTCATTAACCACACTTCTAAGCTTGCTCCTTGCTACGGCATGCTTCTTCTTGATCATTGTGATTAGAGAGCATGGACAGCATGGCAGCGAGACAAGCAAGAGCAAAGAGAGTGTCTGCAACATGAGCATGCATGGAACGGCTGGTACTCCTGTGGATCGCCCACATCGTGGTTTTGGAAGTGCAATGAGCGTGGAATTGTGATTGACTGATTATGTACGAGAGAAAGACTGCCAGGCCAAGTGAAAGAGAGTGAGGTAATGTGTGGGTCGTACAGATATGAGAGCTGTGTGAGCTGGGTGAGAGTGCTTGGTATGCTCCCACCCAGCTGGTTGAAGGCGAGAGATCTGGTGGCCATGGATGGAAGGATGTTAGAGGAGTGATGGGGGAAGGGAAGGATACAACTGGAGAATCTGGGCGGTCGGAGTAAAGGGCTGAGTGGATACCAACCGTGATATGGAAGAATTGTGCAAGGTTGAAATGCTAGATTCACATGCTGGATTGGATTTGACTACTAAATTCACTTGCTTGATTCATGTGCTAGGTTCGCGTTGGGCCACGGTTTGGGAGAAACTGGCCCGGTTTGAATTTTTAGCAAGCCACCATGTCAAGCCACCTAGAGCCTAATTTTGCCGTTTTTGCCGGTTCGTCCGTCTACTCCAGCCTGCCTACAGAGGGAGGGTTAGAGGAGAGAAGTACAAGTGAAACAGCACAAAATCAGAAGCGATGGTTGACTATTGTTCGCTCAGTTGTTTTGTGATGCCCATATATATTGTTTCCGGTCATTCTTACAGTTTCTTCTTATTATCCTAAGCTGAACACGCCCTAGGTCCGGTTGGGATTTAACCCTAACCTTGTACAAATGAGCACAGAACCAAATGTAGCTTTAGTTTGGGCTCGACTCACTCGTACCGTGCTATGTTCAACCTCGAACTGCTGACACGCCTAAAGCGGTTCAATCCGACCAAAACCCACAACTGTTCGGCGCAGCTCAAGTGTAGATTGAAATGCTCAATTTGCATTTAAAGTTCACACTTGCAAAGTCCACGTTGGGCCACGGCTCGGGACAAGCCAGCCCACGTTCAGCAAGCAACCAGAAGCATATGTTTGCCGGTTCGGTCCGACTTGGGCTGAAAAAGGATTGTTTGTCTGCTTATGCCTACGGAGGATTAGAGGAGAGTATTAAGAGGGATGAATAAAGCACAACATATAGAAAAACGTTTGTTGGTGTAGGCTAGTGTTTTCTCAGATATTTGTGATGCCCATATACATTGTTTGTTTCCAGCCACAGCTGGTGTTTTTTTTAGTTGCAGAGAAGGATCAGTTTCTGGATATGATCCGAGGCTGACAGGCTCTGGTCCAGTTGAGGTTTCACCCCAAATTGCTCTATGGCCTTGTAGAGATGAGCACAGAACCGAGTGTAGGTTCACTTGG